TCTTTGGAATGATGTAAAAACGAGCGTTCTTGCTCATTTTGCTTCCGAGAAACATGCAAAACGGGACGGAAAACATGAAATTTTGCAATCATCTTACGCCACCCTTGCACAAAACGACGATAATTTTTCTAATTTCATAGACAACAGAAGTATTTTTTCTACACAACCCCCCCCTGAATTTAAAGCTGCATCGGCCCCTGTAGGAAATTGATTTGAAATTATGAATTTTGTGCTTACTAAAGCGCCCGATTTGAGCTAGTTTTTGAATGGTTAAAAAATACTCTGGACCATCAGTAGTTTGCGACTTAGAACTTAGAGCAGACATGCATCTAAATAAAAACCATGGTTTTGCGAAAAATCGTTACAATTAAGCGCACCTAGAATAGGAGACAGCTATTGGGTTATTAGCATACATCTATGGGTGGAACACCCATAGAAAGGGTAGGGAACGCATGGGGCAAATAATTACCCTAACAGTATCTGAGTGTTTTGAGCTTTGAGTTTCCGCATGTACTTTACACCCCTTTCTCCAGCAAGGATCCTAGAGACGTAGTGGGGGAATCGAGGCGAAGGTTTGCTTGGCGCACATATCGGACAGGCAAAATAAAACAAAATCGCTCGCTACTGCAGTGAACTGACTGACACCAGTAGAAAACTAACGTGCGTGAACTTTTTGTTTTTATTTAAAATTTTCAGATGATTATTTTCTTTATATAAGAAATGGATCAAACCCCAAATAACGTCCCGGCATCAAATTGTACGCAAACGTCCAATAGCAACTCCGCAGACGATGACCGGCATTCAAATGCTAGTGCAGAGACGGCAAATCCTCCTGTGTCCAGTTCAAATCTATCTCTAAACTACAGTGCTAGTGTTGCTAGTTCTAGTGCCAGGCAATCCCCTAAAGTGTTACCTTCGCAAATACTGTTGCCACTTAGAAACTCAATTTCACCCTCTGTCCCACGCAAAATTATGGGCAAAAACCACAATAATACCGGTAAGTTTAACGAGTTTTCCTTGAAACTCGCTGCCAACCCGCCAAACTACACCCTGTAGGAATGTCCAGGCATTTTGACTTCGCTCTAGCATTTCATTCAAATTTTCGTTATTGAGATTTCTGCGCACCATGTGACTGACTAATAGTATCCAGTTAGCTAATTAGCAAATTTAACGGACTTTCTTTCACATGCATGCACGGGATCTCAGTTTTGCTAATGAAGATTTAAGGGCAGAAGCAGCAGAACTTAATCAGTTTTGAGGCTGAACGCGTCTTCAGAAAAGGGCTCCCAATGGGACATTTTTTAAATGTCGAAACTTGTTTCACCTTTAACATTATATTTGGTGCTAGTTTAAACTTCAGTGTAGTTTTTTTACTATTTTCTGAAGCTATTGGACTCAATATGCATCCGATCCATCTATTTAACGTTTGCAAATGCGCAAAATTTTTGTTTCAGAGGGCACATTTAATTTTTCTGAAAAAACGTGCACGGTTTAAAACCTCAAATGCTAATGATGTGGTTTTTTCGGTTGCAAACAAGAGTTCTCAAAAAACAGGAATTTCGCGCTAGAGTAAAGTGGCCGTTTGTTTGACTGTATCGAATATTGTCAACAGAAAAAGTTGATCGGGATCGAAAAGTATATTCAAATATGCACTTTCACCGATCCACTGTGAAAATATTCGATGCTTATATCAACTTAAAATTGCCGCTATTTTACCAGTTAACTTTGTCATTCACGCAAACTATAAAGTATTATTGTAAATATCGAATTGGTAAGCAGTGATTGGAACGAGTTTAGCTTAAGCGGCCATTGGTTGAAATTGATTAGAATTTCGTCGAGTCGCGTTTGCTTGACTCAGCACGACTGAAGAAACAAGTCACTCGCGCCAGCGAAACGTCTAGAGAAAAACGTTTTCCACGACGGCCTAAAAGCACCGAAAAACTCACCAGTTTGAAGCAGTGGCTCAGAAAACATAGTTTCTAGTGGTGTTCTTCCGGATGTTTTGCAATCACGAGTCGCTTGCATTTTCATATGTACAGGGTTATCCATTTTATGCTTGGGAAATAAATTAAAAAAAAACACACAAAATATTCAGATGGAGACGCAAATTTTAATTCAATATAAAGATTAAACCTTGCCATATACGTGAAGAAAATATCATTTAAATGTCCTCCACTGTACCTCCTACAGGCCTCGATCCTTTTGAGGTAATTTTGAATTACTTTTCGGCACATTACTGGTAGTATATCGGCTTCCAGTTGCTCACGAGTTTGAGGATTGTTGGCGTAAACACGATCTTCACGTAACCACCGTGCGGAAAATGAGCCTTTTCGCTGAAGAAAATTCGGTTGGAAAAATCATCATCAACGGCTTGTTGTTCAATCACTTCAATTTGCGTATGTTCTGCGTTGCCCATAGTCTTGAGGCTTAAGTTCTTGAGTCAGTTGAGCTTTGTGCGGATGGAGCTTCAAATCAAATTGCAAAATTCTTTCAAATTCTCCTCAATGAGCCGTAAGACAATCCCAAATGTTGAGCACGTCGGGGAATCGCCGAATTTGCGTCTTCCTCTACATTTTGAGCAACAATGGCGATATTTTGAGCTGAACGAATGTTGCGATGTCTCTTCAACTTTTCCACTGTGTTCGAAATTGTTTGCTTTGTGGGTCGATTATGTCCGACCGTAATCTACCGTAAAGCCCTAAACGCTGATACAGCAGAATCATCATTTTTCTAGTAACATTTAATAATTTTTGCGCGTTCTTCGACAGTTAAACGATCCATATTCCAAAATGGCAAACCTTCAACTAAACCAAAAACGCTTCGGATGGCGTTTAGCTTTAACAGATATATCAAATAGCAAGGTTTTGCTTTCCCAACCTCGAATTGGATAACCCGTTAGTTTGCTCGAAGCAGCACCACTCTGAAGATGCCAGCCACTCCTGATTGCGAAACATCTGTAAGAAATTCTTCATCACGCGGCCTAAAACCCCCGGAAAACATGAAACTGAATCTTCAGACGTTTCGCAAACAGGAGTGGCTGGCATCTTCAGAGATGGTTGCTGCGCCAAGCACCTCTGAAGATGTCAGGAAGGAATTATTTTCCACGACGGCGTAAAAACGACGAAAAACTCATCATTTTCAACGCTTGGAAAGTTGCAAAATCACTAATAAGCTAGCTAAAAATAGCTTTAACAAATTGTTAGCCAGCAAACTGGGCTTTGTGATATCAATTAGTATTAATATACTTTAAGGGCTTTGTATTGAGGGTCAGGAATTATTTCTTGCTAAAAATACTATCGACCCATTCGGCCTTTATTTCTGTCCGGAACTTCTAATAATTGTGTGAGAGCGAAAGGATAAAAATGTCTGATGCCCAAGTGTCATAATTTGAATATAATAATCATTTGAATGGCTTCAATGCGTATCCTGTTCTTTAAATTCGTCCACTTTTAAATCGCCGATTCTTCATATACCGCGTGTTATTTTCAAATGGCGCCTTCGAAAGCTAATTGTGGAAAAGGCACATTTCTATGCTGAAGTTGTTATGAACATGTGGAAATGTGTGTCGATTTAAAACATGAATAATTAAACGAGTAAACAAAATTCACCTGATTATAACATGGTAGTTAGAAGTAGATCGCAGGTTTTGCGATCCCCCATAAGGAGAATTAGTGTTTTTCTGTTATCCTAATTACGGTTGTTTGTATTTTTTTGTGATATAATAAATTAAAGCACGTAAAAAACGGAATGACTATGAACACTTCAAGGGCGACAAAAAATGCGAAAAAGTAACAAAAACTTGTAATTTATTAGTTACGCAACAGAGGCGAATATTTAATTTTAATAAAACAAAAAATGTGCACGCAATAAATAATTTTTCGATAAAAAGCTTAGTTATTCGTATTCTGTTTTTAAATGCGAGAATATTATTCACGGTTCCTTTTTGTCCGAGTACCTAAGGCAGGAAAGCATAGTAAAGAATTACAGAAAAATTAATTGCCTGACAATAACAGGACCGAGAATCAAAATGTGTTTTTTATCAAAACAATTATTATAATGCCTTTTGAAATATCAAACCCACGCGGTAGCATCCAAGCACGACCAATAATTTTTTTCGTTTACTTACATTGTATAAGGCGAGCAAAAACCAAATAATGAGTATACTCTGGTTAGCAGAGTTTTATAGGCGCTTTCGTAGAAGGAATGTTTCCAAGCACAATTTACACAATTAGGTACTTTAATCACAGTCTGCTTTTAACGGCTTATATTGTTTTATTAGGAGAGAGAATTATTTTTTAACATACCGGCGGTTAAGCACGGATTTTCAATCAAGGCTTCACTAAGGTTTTTAAGTCAAAGATATGCAAGTGTGATTTCTGCTGTGGATACCGGAAAATTATTTAGTTTTTTTTCGTACATTTGAATGGCAATTTTCAGAAAAATTACTGAAGTAACGACTCTGCAATGCTTAGCTCAGCGTTGATGACATAAATGAAAACGTCCTTCTGTTCGAAGAGAACTCATTATTTTAGTATACTGTATATATAGACCCTGTATAGATCGATTGTGGACAACTTTTTGTAGCGAGTAGTTTTTTTTTCTCTAAAGAATGCCGAGCTCAATTTCGGTAGCGCAGCACAGCAGCGGTAAAATCGATAATTTGGTTTTTTCTTCAGTCGGGTCTGCTCGAAAAATTTTTGGGATAAAAACTAGTCCGCGGCGAGTTCGTCGGGGATCAGCAAAAAACGTCCGGTAAAAAGTTTCCAGACAGTTTTTCATATAGCGCCAGGTTCAGTCGATTTCATAGCGAGGCGTTCTCGGTGTACACTCAGACGAACAAGTAATTGTTATTTCTTGCTGTAGTCCGGTAGAATAAGATTCCTCAATTCTCTGTAAAAGACCCAATTTTCGCATAGTAAAATGTCTTGCCTATTCCCCAACAAGATTCTTCGGTAGTGTGTAAGAAACGTTTAGAATAGATGATTAGAATACTTAGGAGCTCATTTTGAATATAACTTTTTGGAAACTGCTCAGTTTTTTTCCCAACGTTTTGCAAGCACGCGTGACTTACATCTTCAGAGTGTTCGCAAACACCAGTTACAAGCAATCAATGTCAAAACCGGCGAATTTTCCGGTCCTTTAGGTCGCCGCAGCAGGCGTTCAGAAGTGGTTGCTGTTACGAGCAAACCACCTTTGAAGATGCAAGTCACTCGTGCCTGCAAAACGTCAGCAAAAAATTGTTCGTCGACGGGCTTAAACGACCGAAAAACTTACCAGTTTCATCTTCAGTAGGTATATTTTTCGGTGTTTTTCGAGGTTGCACTAAAGGCCCGAAAAATTCCGTCTAAAGACACTTTATTATTTTCGTATACCCAACAGTAGGCAACATTTGTAGCTGAATCAGCTGCAGCTTAAACTGTTCCTGCATATGCATCACAGAATCTCCTTAAGCAATGCCCAAAACAGCCTATTAGTGTTAAACCCCCCAATATCGTGCTAGCTGTTATTTTTAGCCCCTGACCTTTATGTATTTTACTGGACTAACAAGGCTTGTCATGTTTTTACAAATAAAAGCCAGACGGTTGAGTATATTGATTAGATGGATATTAAATTGAAAAAAATTCTGTCTTTATATTCTATTTTAATTTTTTATCAAAAGCCATGTCTGGAAGTTTACTACTGGAAATTTTCGGATAAATCCTTTTGCGGTAAACGGAATATTTGTCGGCTCGGTTGGGGAAAGCATGGAAAATTATTCTAAATAGAACGTGCACAGGGTGTCCCATAAATGAAGGCGATAATGTTAACAGCGAAATTCTGTCAAAGTGATACGATTTAGCACAACTTTCCTTAAAAGAAAGTCAACTAAAACTGAACATTTTTTTGAATAATTTTGTTCAATTAACTCACGAACAACTGGGAATTTTTACTAAAATTAGGTATCCGGGGGTTTTCCAGGGTGACAAATTTGATTCTCAACTCAGTTTTAGGCCTGCT